TATAAAACTTTTTTATTATATATATAAATATATTTAAATATATATATATTTTAAAAATAATATATATATATATATATATATATATATATATCTTTTTTTTTAAATTTTTTTTGCGTAAGCATTATAAAACGTTTTAAAACCGCATTAAAAAAAATTACAACGCAGTTACTCTGATCTCCTAATGATTTTATATAGAAATCGCTACTTGAGTAATAAGACGTTTTATGTATGGATGGATATTAACAACGAGAATAGAAAATAAACAAAGTATCGAAAATGTCCCATATATATGTATATATACATATATATGTTCATACACATACAAACGCCTTATGCATACATATATATATATATATATATATATATATATATATATATTTGTGTTTATGTGTGTATGCTTTTACTTACAATGCAACTGATAAAGTATGGAATGTAATTTTCTTGATTTAATTAAGAAAATATGCACATACACAAACAAACTACCATAGAACACAATGGGATATATAACAAAACACATGTTTACCATGTGTGTAGGTATGTTCATAACAAAAGATTTCCAATGGTTTTTGGTGTAAATAAATTGACTGTCCAGTCGGATAACGAGAACATACAAAAATATCAGTTTTACGCGATACTTTCACATCGCCAAGTAACGATAAAATTTTTTAGTCAAACATTTGCTTTAGACAAGTGTTCTGAAGTGGAATTTTGTTTTTTTTTATTTTCTTGTTTTATTTTATTTTATTTTTTTTCCTTTTCCTAAAATCATAAATAAATTGATTGACTGTTTGCAAAAATGAAAAATATTTTCATTATTACGATTTTAATGTTTATTGTAACTTTTGTTGGTTCAAATGCTGATTTGTTAGATTGCGAGGAGAGAATATTACCCGCAACTTTATCAGATATTGGACCTAAAATATCCCGAGAATCCGAAGAGCATTTGGCTGGTTTTTTCAAGAAATGGGGCTGCCATATAAAAAGAGGCGCCTCCAAGCTCGGCGAAGATGTTAAAGAAGGTGCAAAAAAGCTGCGTGAAGGTGTTAGGGAAGGTGCAAAAAAATTAAAAGAAAAAACTGAAAATCTTGGCTCGAAAATTGCAACGAAATTTCACGATATTAAAGATCATTTAAGCAAAGATTCCGATGAAAGCTTCGAAATTAAGCATAAACTGTTCGCCGATAATGTGGAAATCGTTAATCCGGATATATTAAAAGGGGATCAATTGTGCGGACACGGTCACATTCTAGATGCATTGGGTAACTGCAGTAAATTACGGAAATAGTAATTAAGTAAATGCAGGCGATTTCATAGTTAAGCCAAATATCAAATGTATGTTTGTACGAATATGAATGAATTGAATTGAATTGAATTGATTGATATATTCAGTTCATTCAAAATAATTTCTTTATTATTATTAGTTAATGTACTTTTATTGTTTATTGCAATCATGTGCTTGTTTACGACCCACAGCCGACATATTCGCCCATATATGCGAGAAATCTCTTGAGTTGCCCGTTGCTTGTTGCCCGTTGCCCGTTGCCCGTTCCCTGTCGCCCGTCGCCCGTTGCCCGGCGCCCGAAGGAAAAAATCGACAAAATAAATGAACGAAATTGATTGCAACGAGTGTGGATTGACAAACAAATTATTATTATATTGTTCTCGCATTTTCCCAGATTCAAAATTATCTTTGAAACGTTCAATTTGCTTATGTATGTTTTCTCCACTCATATCAAACAAATAAAGTGATTTCTTTTTTTGTTTTTCTTTTTTCCTCTTCAAAAGCTGTTTTATTTATTTGTGCTAAAGTTTTTTCCTTTGATCTTGATCAGGTGCAATCTCGCCAAAAATTCCTTTAAAACATAAAACAATTTTTGCAATTTTTGAGAAATTTTGCAAGAATGCTTGGCAAGGAGCTACAAATTAGTCATTGATGACAAAATGTTTGGCTAATCTTTTAGCAAGTTTTTCTTAGACCAATCCTGAAATAAGTTTAGCAGATTAATTTAACTGACGCTTACTGTAATGTCGCAAAGAACTTTACATCCTGATTGAATACGTGTAGGTATTGCATAAAACAAACCTATTAGGGGCAATTAAATTAGTCATGCGAATTAAATCTGTGTTAAATGATATGAAACACTTGAACGTGGAAATCTGTTTTAAAGACTACTTAGTATCTTGTATAGATAAAAACATTTTGGTATTAAATCAAACTTCACATAGCATTAACGAAAGGTTTAATAAACCGTTCAAAGCCATGAAAAGTGTTTCGAAACTATGGAAACTTGTGGTGAAGATAGACAACGCGCATGTGAGTCTATAATGAAACTCTAGAAGTAATCTATAGGTATTGAATGCGATATTGGGATCTCGAACAATTTGGATATTATACTATAAATACTAAACGACTAGAGCATATCTTTGTTGTTCACTCAATTGCACAATATATGCGTCTTTTTGCAAAAAATTAATGAAATAATGAATTATTCCATTTATCGATTTATCGCTTTGATCCGAGCAGCTGTGCTCGGTGCTGTTTGATTCCTTTAGAATTATATAGATTGCAATAAATCGGTCCTTGATTAGGCACGTTCGTGTCAAGCACTCTAAATGAAATAAAAATGAATAACTTGCCTACAGTAGCAACGCAACGCGTTCAAATGAATTGAAAACTTTTCTTCGAGCTTTGGAGAAACAAATGCTTACGTGACATATGATATATGTTACGTGGAATCTTCTCCCATAGGTCGTATACGTAAGTTACGGAAATCAATGATTGTCCGGAATCGTATGCAACTAAATCATAATGTTGCCACAACTGTAGACAAAATTCGTTTCCATGACCTAAGTGAATATATGCGCTTATCTACTCAACTCATCCCAGCTGTCAAAAATGAAAAATAATATATATATATTTTTTTTTTTCTCATTTTAAAGATAATATTTACTATGTATATATCTACATACATTCACGTTAATTTGAAAAGTTTTAAAAATGGTTCTGCCTTCCGAAAAAAGTGCGTATGAATAAAAAAAAAAAAAAAAAAAGTTATATTCACTGAGTGCATAGCGTTGATATATGGCCACTAATAACATGCAGCCTAACAGAATATATTGCAATAAATAAAAGCGTAAAATATAATATGTATTTTAGAAATTTTTTCATTTTAAAATTCATCCATTTGGGTATGGCTTTGGAAGATGTTTTAATTTCTCGACAGAGATGAGGATAACTCGTGAGAACTTTATACCTTATATCACTTGTAGCGGGATAGTGCCCAGAATGCCTAGAGATTGGCACACCTTTAAAAAAAAAAAAAAAAAGTATCGACAAAATAATTCTGAATCGATCTAAGCTTGTCCGTCCGTCTGTTCGTTTGATGGCTGTCCGTGTATTTTTGTGTTCAACCTACAGGTCGCAACTTTTGAGGTATTTCAATGAAATTTCGTACACTGACTTGTTTTGGTCCAAGGATGAACGCTATTAAAAGCGGTTTGAATCGATACATTTTTCCGATCACTCTTCCCATATAACGACTTTTGAAAATAAGCTGTTACTTTGAAAAAATCGCGGACTAATAGAAAGAGATAGTAAAAAATTTATTGAAATTAAAAAAACCTATCTGTACGCATATCAAGATTTTAAGCGAGACATTTCAAAACAGTTCACCAGAGGACGCCTGCAAATTGCATTCTCTCCGTGCAAGTCTTCTACAATATCCTTAAAATATTATTCACTAACGTTTTTTCATTGTAATAAGAGATTGCTGGATTCTTTTACACTGACACCTGCGTCAACGGCAAATCGCCTTAAACTAACTATGCCTTGCAAGAATGGCTCCATTATTGTTCCTTTTTCACCGCGTTTCAAATGCAATTTCTTTCAATAGCGTCTAAGCAGATTGTTAATAATTTTTTCCAACATTTCTCTTGTATTACGATTGCTTCTATCTAAAAAACATTACTAAATCGGGCCACGCCTGCGCGAAGATTTTAGTACCATATTCAACTCACTGCCATTCTCATATTATTCATTTTCTTATATCAGAGGTGATATCATTTTAAATCAAACAAGCAATAGAGCAGGCTATGTCACAGGCAAAGCCCTTCTTTTCAAAACAAATATCGTTCGTATCCATAACCTCATTTTTCGGTCAAACAAAATCCGTCAACGCCGTAACAATTCAAGGAGAAAAACTTTCGAAAAGAGAAGACTTCAATATCAATAGATCGGTAGTCTAAAGATCGAACTACAATGCTACTCATTGTGGGTAAAAGAGAGAGAGAGAGAGAGAGAGAGAGAGAGAGAGAGAGAGAGAGAGAGAGTTTGCTATCTCTTTTTCTTCTGTTCAATTATGGAGACCGTTCGACAAACAAACAGATGAAAATCACCTTCGTCTCTTGGAATAAAATATTTTAAAAAAGTATGATCTCCTTCAGGCATTGTCCGCATCCAACCAGTGAATGTACAACGAGTGTATCTGAAAACCATTTAGCTTTCACTTGCAAAATGTCATTGCAGTGTGAAATTTATACACAATTCTGCAAAATGAGGCGAATCTTAACGCGATCCTATTATGTTAGGTCTAGCGGAATATTCTGTCCATTTCGTTTAGAATAAGTTCCGATAAGTACTCGAGTATTTATTTAATGCATACTTAGTTTTCTCTAGCTAACGTACTAGTAAATGAACTAAAACGAGAAGATGCTTCATTACTACTGTTAAGTGGGATGCGAGCGTGTACGCATGGCTTTTGACAAAATTCATTTACACCGCAACAAGGAAAAAATGCTGCAGAAGTGTGTAGAAGTGTGTATTGAAGATGGTTAGAAAAATCTCATATAAGTGATTTCGAATTTTCTGATATGCCACGCCCTGTGCATTCTGTGCACGATATCCTTTTTTGATAGACATCGGAGATTGTGGAACGAGTTGATTCCAGCTCAACCAGCAAATCCCCTCGGACCATATTCAGGAACTGAAATTTCAAACACGGACTGAACTATCCCATAGGCCTTGAGCATACACTCACACATAACACAGTCTGTTGTGTCAAACAAAAGCTATTATGTTGATATACCCGATACTGTGGCATACATCTAGCACTACTTACTCTTTTCTTTTGCTTTCAAGTAACCACGAATTCGCATAAGTATACACATTCAAGACTCGCATTTTTAAAACAATTTCTCACATTCTATTCAATTAACATTGCGTTTAGATCTAAGCGAATTGTTTTAAATAGAAACGAATCTCTTTTCCTCTTATTTATATCTTGGAAAGAATAGTGAATGATATGATTCAGGTAAACAAATCATTTCTCCAAATTTTTCTGTTGTTTTATTGACGCAAGTTGTTGTCAAACTCAAATACCAAGAGCACAGTATTTACTCCGACCTTTTTAATGTTGTTTTCATAAAAACCGATCGTAATTGAATAAAAATATTTTTCATGCCAAACTTATAAACGTAACATACTCCGCAGTCATAAGTATATTCTTTTGCATAATTATAAATTAAAACATATAGTACCGAACAACATAACTCTGTCCATTGAAACATACATAAATCGTTATATAGGCGATTTATATTGCCTAAGGGACTTGAAATCATCACATGCGCACACATACTTAATCAACAATTTTTGAAATATTTTGATGAAATTTTGGTACACTGGCGAGTTTTTGGCCCGACGACAAACACTATTGAACTATTTCGACTTTCGATCGTTCCACAATATAATGCTTTGTTTTGAAATGTCGATATATGGATTACTTCAGGGTAGTAATGGTGGGCCGTGCCTCTCTACAGCGTTTTTTGCTTTCTTCATGTAGCGACCTTTCAAAAATAAAACGATGAAACGAAATAGTGTAACGAATTTGGTGAAAATATCGCAAAAACTCAGACTTGAATGTTGGACGTTGAACACAAAAGTACGCGAACGTACAACAGCCCGATGGAAAAATTTAAAAAAATTAAAAAAACGATACTGAATAGATCGATAAAGTATATTCATGCAAACTTGGGCGGTATAGGGCTTAGCTACGGCCATTGGCCGCAGACAAAGTCTTCACCTAAGCAAAATATTATTCATCCTTTCATTAAGAATTAATGGAGATTTTTATAGGCCTTCATGTTACATTCCATTTTATTCTCTCATTTCAATTATCGACAACGCGAATGTTTATAGCTCAACATAAAGCCTTCATTGAATGTTCGAATTGTTAAGATGTAGGAATTTACGAACTGAACAGAGCATTGTGACCTTAGGTTACAATGTGTTTGAAATGTAAGTAAAGGCCTCATTAAAAAATTACTTTTCGCACTCGAGCATAAAAAAAAAAAAAAAAAAAAAATTAAAATAAACAATTTTCTTACTTACTTTCTAATATTAGAAAAATTTTATATAGAAATTTGTTTTAATTCTCCCACACGTTAGATATTCGAACTTTCTAAAGCGTACAAGATGACTGGTTAGAAAGGTATTAAACTCAAGCGCTCAAGTTCTTAAAAGAACTTTAACAGCGTTTAAGTTAAAAAACCAGTTAAAGAGAAAAATGGTACGTTATACTTGGCGCAGACGACGCGCATACATGTTTATATAAACAATAAATCTATATATATATATATATATATATATATATATGTATATATATATTCACATGAAAGCATATCTATGTTCGTATAAAGTAAGATTCGTAAACAAGACAGTTACTTAACCACTTTTTCTTTAGCAGAAGCAGTTACAACAACGATGTCAACAACATTTGCTACATCAATGTATATAACCGAAAAACCTGAAACCAATCAGTCTCTGCTAACGAGTCTTTAAGGAAAGAACCAAATTTTTAAAAGTGATCAACAAGAAGTTGAGAAAGTTTTTTCTTTTATCATTTCATTCATTATTATCGCGAAAGAATCGAAACGAATCGTAATAATGAAAATTTGGACTTTGATATCGGCCATTATAATATTATGCTTGGCCGTAGAGCAAACTGAAACGGCTTCGATTGTTTGCGATGATTCAAATTATAAAGTCAACAAGACGGAAAACGCTGATAATAAAGGAATTAAGAATTTCTTGCATAGCATACAATGCTCATTGGAAAAGGCCAAACCCTGGATGGATGAATTGGAGCAGGAGGCGAAACGTTTAGAGGCGGCAGCAAAGCGTTTAGGTTTCGGTATATTGCATACATTTGGCGAATTTATGGATAAATTAGTGGGCGATATACAACAGACTGGTATCAAGAATGAAACTTTAATCGAAACGGAATTGACGCCAAAAGAAACAACTACAACACCTCGAGCTGTAACAACAGTAACAGCAATTTACGCATCCGACACCGATAATGAGATATCCGCTGTCGACGATCGATTGCATTTGTGTCCCGAAGGATTTGTTATGGATCATAATGGTTTATGTGAACGTATACATAAGTGAATGTGTTTAACCCTTAAAGTCCATAGAATAAAATTAAATTTAGAGAACAGGTAAATGTGTTTGCTTTTGTTTTTTTTTTAAATCATATAAGTAGTTCGAAAGGACAAGAACAGCAACAATCTGTCATCATAAACAACATTTTCAAGTGGATATTTAATTTTAAAAACTAAAAGAAAGTTTTTAAAAATTTTATAAAATTCAATACAGTTTTCAAATCGTTTTTGTACCGTTACCGACCCGGTTATGAAATATGATGACAGATATCGAATTATAATCACGAATTAGTTCGAGATAAGGCTGGGCTGACACGATGTCGATGTTGTTGGGCGTTGCCTTTATAGAAGCCTCCGTTACTTCTTCTCTTTTTTAATTGGCGAGAAAGCAACTATCGCTTATAGTCAAATTAAAAAGAGAACGCAATGGAATATTTTTAAGTTGTCTGTCTTTACGCCTCGTAAATTGTACTTTCTCGTTTAATTGTAATAAATGAGTTGATCTTTAGAAGTTTTATGAACATATTTTGCTTGGTTTAACACAACCACTTAATACACACTTAAGTCGGCTAATAATTACGAGAATCGGACAGCAACACAGAGGCAGCACTGCATGAAAAATATGAAACTGGTTTTCGGTTTATTTTCTCTCAAAATGTAAAGCGTATAAGTTAATTATAAACCAACGACACATATGCACGCGTGCATACCTACTGTCATGCACCTCTATTGCTTAGCTTGCGCTAAACACTTTACCTCATAATCTCAATCAAGTCAGTTGTTTCGAGACTAGAGACTAGAAAAATACAAATAGCACGCAAAACAAAATCATTTCGAATCTAAATCAAAAAAAAAAAAAAAAAAAAAAAAAAATCAAATCAAATAAAATGAAGTCGTCTTTATGGTTCGCTGTTGCCGTTATGACGGCCTTGTATATCGTAAACGTACAAGCCGATTGCGATGAACCGTCCAGCGATTCGGACGAAGGTGAAGTTAAGCAATGGTTTAAAAAAGTTGGATGCTCGATTAAGAAGGGGGCTGAAGACATCCAGGAATCAGCAAAACCGTGGACTGATAAAATAGCGAATTCCGCCAAAGACTTTGGAACATCGGTAGCACAAAAATTCGATGAGGTAAAACATCGATTAACTGATGACAAGCCATCCAGCGAATCGACGCGTGTCGTATTCAATGAAGAGCCCACCGAAAAAGTGCCGCTGGCCCCATTACCTTCAGCCGCAACAACAGGTGAGCATTCAACAGCATCTACATCAACAACAACAGAAGGAAATCATAAAGTATTACCCGATGCAATTGATGATCGTTTCCTTTTTCAGCTGAATAAGTGTCCTCCAGGTCAAGTGCTTGATTATCGCCAACAATGTCGAGATCATGATTAATTCCATTTTAATGATAAGTCGTGATTTATTCTTCTCCTTTTTTCTTTTGAATTTTTGTTTATTTTATTTGTGTAATATAATTTTAATTTTTTTATTTTTATTTTTTTTTTCGTGTTAATAAAATGTAATTAAATTTATGCTAATTTTAAAACTCTGGAGCAAAATCCATATGAGTTTAGTTATTGCGAAAAAAATTGTCATTTTTTACAATAAAATGCAAAACGCAATTAAATTTTTTCATTTAAACTACTTATAGTGTGTTATGATGAACGAAATCGAGGATTTTGAACTTATTAACGTCGCGCAGTGTTTACCAAACTTTAAAAACTCGGGTCATTCCACAAATGGCAAAGAATGCCGAACGTAACCAAACTCATTAAAGGGGTAACAATTAGCATAAATTTTGCCAAACGTTTCCAAGAAGACGCATGGGCTGTTAAAGGTAAGTGAAGAAAACTGCAATCAATATCATTGAAAAGAAACGCAGAACCCACTGAATATTTCCGGAGTATAAGGTACAAAGTTTACGTAATATACAATGCAAAAAATATTTCTTGGCGTGGGCGGACCTATCGATGGATTTAGTCAAACTTTAGCGTTAGCATGACTATGAAACGAATCTTCTGCTTCTTAATGAAAATTTCAAGTAGTGTAGATAAAAGGCGAGACTACTAACCCCGTGTTCGCGGGTTCAAATCTCGGTGCGTTTTGACCGTACTTGACCATAGCTAATGTAAATTCTCAGTCAGTAAAAGTATAATCTTTTCCGATTGTCCATACAACCACTAGGCTACAGTGTCTTCCACTTGCTATCTCTGCCCCGTCTTCCAATGCTTTCTGGCCTTCACCGCATTAAACGTATACGCGGCATCCTCTGAGAGAGTGATCATATTAGAAAGAAAAAAAAAAAAAAAATGGTGGAATTGAATAAGTCTAATGGCCCGATCGACCTTGTGAACCTGAAAATTATCAGTTTTCTTTAATTTATGTATAAAAGACTGAAAAACAAACTTTACACATGTCTCTAGACGTGTTCGGGTGCTCACAAAAACGGTTCAAATAAATATTCTAATATATATTACAAAAAAAAAAAAAAATGAAAGTGGTACGACAAGTTGTTTAAAAAAAAAAAACAAACAATGAAGAATTTTTTCTCAAGAGATTGTCTTCAGGTTTGAACTATTTATTACACAGTGAAATACGTGGGATGTGAAAAAACGAGCTCTCAAATGCGAACTATAAAATCCCTTAAAATGACTCGAAGAAGAGAACTCTACCTGTTTCACAGTTGAACGTTATTATGAAAGTGCACAGCTGACGTTTGAAATCGATCGGTTCTAAACGGCGGCACGTTAATTATCTCCGCCAGTTCAAAATTCGTAGTCTCGACAAGAACGTGTTAGTTTTAAGCACCAATGACTTCTCCCGATAGATCGACGTTTTGAGCAACATAACAAATTCGAAAATTCACAAAATCTTCTAAATATGACTTTTGAATATTGGAGGTAGGGCTCATTTTAAATAATAAACAAGAAAAAGAAGAAAACTTTTTTTTGAAAAGAAATTCATAAAGTAATAATACTTTGTATATTCTCTTCTTTCATTGCTGAAGAAAAGATCCTTCAGTCATGTTTGTTTTGAAAAGCTTCAGCATAATTCTGTCACATCTATTAACAGCTGTTAGGGCAATTTTTACGAAAATATTTAAGTGAATAAAATCGCCGAATTGCCGTAAGCATAGACTCTGTCGGTGGTACGGAGGCTTGAATGATTCTAAATAATTATTATTTATTTACCTTATTTGACCTCTTTGATATTTACGTGCCGGTAATCGTTAGCTTGTAAAGCAATACGAGTAGTTGACTATGTGTATGTTTTCGAAATGTGAAATATATATATATATATATGTAAAAAGTGTTTACAATAAATTGTTTATGATACGTACCATATTCTTACTTATAAATAATTTTATTATGATGCATAATATTATATATACAAATACAGTTACATGAAGTTATAATACTTGATATATACATATATACATATATATATATATATATATATATATATTTAAAGTTTAAAATAAAGCGAAACAACAATAGTGGATTGTTTGTTTTAATCAATTTAATTTCACTCAGCTTGCTGCCTTGATTTGTTTCCTGCATTTGTGTTTCTTTGCTTAGTTTCGTAATTAATAAATAATTCAGTAAACATAGTAATAATATATGTTTGTCTAAATACTTGAAATAATTGTTAGATAATTTAATAACATCAATCAGAATGGTTTTGTTCAATTTTGATTTTGTATCACATTATTATTTATTTGCAGTTTGTTGTATTTACATTCTATTCTTATTTCAATTCGTATTAAATGATGATCATTGTCATTCGATTCAATTGAATTGTTATTCGATTTCATTGCATTCAAATTTTTGTTAAAGGTTATCATATATTCTGTATGTTATTTAAATATGTTTAGATGCATTCTTGCGTGCAATCACATATATATATATACCCGTGTATACATACATTACATTATGTATGCAAATATTCTCTAATATTTTGCACACAATTTTATAGAAAACAAAAAAAACAAAAAAAAATAAAAAAAAAATAAGCTCAATAGATATTTTTCTAAACTGATTACATTTTCAAATATTGAATAGAAAAGTGATTAAGAGATGTTGACATTTTTTAAAAATTCCTAGCATATCTTCAGGCTTGTATTATAAGCAAATTCTTCAAGTGTATTGCACTTCGTTTGCTTAGGCAAGAAAACATGCAGAACATATTTATGAAAAGTTCACAATTGTTTTGCTATATCTGTATCCAGGGTTGCTAACGTCTTACGTAACTAATTGCAAAATATATTTGCAAAAAGACCAAACTTGTATCCATACCAATAAAAACTATTCTGGGCATTAGCTAAATTAAAGTTTCATTTAACAGCGTGTATCCATATCGCGACGTTCAACTACACTTTAATTTATAATTAAATTTTTCTCTGAGTGCTTCTAGTCAACTACTAACTACTAACAGAATAAATCAACGAAAACAACAAATAACAACAATTATATATTTGTTAAAATAGCATAAATAAAATTGTGAGAATTTGTTTATTTGTATGAGAAAATAAATTTATAAAATCAAAAATTTTAAACGAGATAGGGGCACATTCTAGCTAAGAGAACTATTCTACAATAATTGAAGATTTCACAGAAAACATAAAATCATTGTGCATTGTACGATCGATTCGTGCATATGACGTAATTCGAAAAAGGCTTGCGAAGTAAAATCTTTAAATAAATTGTGCTCTTGAAGCGAATTAGCCTGTGCAAGAGCCCTGTTACGACCGTTATGGATCTAAAAGTTGTACAAGCACTCTAAATAATAGCAACCGTCGCTTAGCAAGTCCTACATCTATATAGAAGACAAAATTTGTTGTACATTAAATGTTTTGGTAACGTAGCCTTGAGACTGATAAATACAACACTGACTACCTTATTCTATGGATAAGTACTTTATGTGTACTAACGTTAGCTCATTGACTGTAAAAGACTAATATGTGTTTTCTTTTTTCTTTACGATAAAATTATTAAATTTTGTAAATTTAATTTAGTTTATAAGAACGCATACATAACGTTACTTTCTTAAAATTTCCATCTTTAATAGCTTTCGTATACGATATCTCAATAATGGTGAAGGAATTAATACTTGGGTCAGTCGTCATTCTCTCATTATTGCACAACTGTTTAATTATTATAAAACCCATACTTTATATGAATTGCTTCGACCCATGACACGTCATTCAATTGCAAATGTTTTCCTTTCACTTAAAATATTGTTTCTATCGTTGTTGTCGGATATAGTTCGTTATAATGAATTTGATTCGAGCACTGCTAACTGATCATAATTTCTTCTTTCCCGTATATGTATATTTTCACGCATCATTTAAGATCGATTACGTCGCATATGTACATTGCCCAAGAAGAACTGCGAAAAAGGCGCAAAAATTGCTCGATGCACTAAAAAACTTTTTGTTTTCTGTAACAAGTTGCTCGCCAGTGCTTAGCCAAATGATGGTTTTTTATGGAGAAAATTCGAACCACATAATTTATGCGCAGCTCTAATCCAATTGCGATGACAAAACCATTTTATTGAAACATATTAACTGGCAACTCAGTAAATCATCTGTTGTTGTTGTTGATGATCTGACTCACAGGAGAAAAAGAACATAACTCTCTTCTTAATGTACAGCACCGTTGTACACTTTTTAGAAACTTTTCTCCTATTTTTAGGGTTGTTTTTTTTTTTTTATTGAAATTTCCGACTTTGTCGCGATGCGCTCCATGGAATGCGCGCGATGGAAAGTTGCAAATTTCTAGCTCTTGCACTACACTAGTCTTTACAAGGTACTTGTGTTCATTTGAAATCCTGTTCAAATGAAGATACGTTGAAGTAACGTGCTTTGGAAGGCGACCGTTGAAAACATATGAGGCTGAGAGCAATTCTGGAATTTTCAAAGCTTCCAGCATAAAATTAAAAGTTTCGGATAAAGTTTTTACATTTGGTTATGCATTGTGCCATTAAATTACACATTTTCTTGTCGTTTTGTTTGTTTGTTTAATTTTCGTAAAGCATAAAAGATGCAATTCTATCTTTGATAGATGCAGCAAAACCTACAGTTATAGCAAAAAATCTTCGAGAACATAGAGTAAGGAAGGACGCACAGCTTTATGATTGCTAGGATTATTGCCAAGCATTAGAAAAACATTATAAATCTTTTATTGTGATAACGAACATGTCTACAACACACTTCAAAATTTTATGTGCGCTTTTTTCGGAACACCATTTCTGAAAATGGCCAACAGTATAAGTAATTGCCACAATTTTCATGTTGTTCGTTCAATTTGTGTAGAATAGCATTCTCTGGCGAAGTGTGCAAGCCATTTTGGATAAGTTAATTTCACCATTAGTTGTTAACAAAAGATTAGCTTTTTTCGCACAAAAGTATCCAACTTCACAATTACACATCGTGTGCCCCTTGAACGAAAGACGTCCCCCTCAATAATAAAAGTAATGCAATTTCTTCACGTCTTCATAGTGTGAATAGCTCTATAATTTTTCCCTATAGTAGCTTGTAAAAGCCTGGACGACTATCTGAAAAGACTAGCTTCTGCCAGCGACAAAGCAATATTCGCTGTAGCCAACTGTAATTAATGGCAAGCTGAGGTATCATTGGTTTCGCA